TGAATTCTCCCGAAGTTTAACATAAGGATCCATAGGTACAGAGCTCGGTTTACAAGCCAAAAGACCAGTGTCTTGAAGCAAATCCAAGGTGTATTTGCGTTGACAAACCGAGATACCCTTAGAAGAACGCGCAATCTCCAATCCCAAGAAAAAACGCAGTGGTCCAAGATCCTTGATCTTAAAGGCAGTAGAAAGGACCAACTTCAAAGTAGCTAAGTCCGTTGAATTATTGCTGGTAATGGCTATATCATCAACATAAACAAGGACCGCAAGAAAGCTACCAAGAGAAGATTTCGTGTAAAGAGAATTATCAGACTCAGATTGAGTAAAACCAGCCGCAAGAAGAACATTGGTAAGAGTCTTGTTCCATTGCCGAGAAGCCTGTTTCAAGCCATAGAGACTTTTATGAAGACGACAAACAGGATTCTGAGGAAGAACAACTCCTGGCGCAGGTGTATAGCCTTGTGGCAAGCTCATGTAAATTTCTTCATCCAAAGTACTATGCAAAAAAGCATTTGACACATCCATTTGACTTAACTCCCATCCTGCAGTGGCTGCTAAACTCAACATTAGTTTAACAGTATTGAGTTTAACCACAGGAGAAAAAGTCTCATTAAAATCAACGCCCTCCTGTTGTGTATATCCTTTAGCCACAAGACGTCCTTTACGTCTCTCAACTGAACCATCCGCATGATACTTCGTGGTAAAGACCCACTTACAACCAACAACATTCTTACCCGGAGGTAAAGAAACAACACTGAACGTCCCATTTCGCTCCATTGCCTGAAACTCCTCATTAACCGCTTCCCTCCATTCATCAGATGCCATAGCTTGTTTAAAAGTTTTAGGGTCATGTTCAAGAGAATAGGAAAGCAGATAAGAAAGAAAGGGCATTTGAATTTTGTCATAGGCAAGAACAGAGTTAATGGGATAAGGAGTGGTATGATTAGGAGGTAATGAAGGAAGAGCTTGAAGAAGAGCACAATGATAATCAGATAGGTAAGTAGGTACCTTAGTCGTACGTTTTGGTCTACCACCAGCAAGAGAAGTATTGTCAACAACCGGAGGAACTGTCTCAGAAACCAATGGTACAGGAGAACATGATGGAGATGCAATATGAGATGCAGAAGATGATGCAGGATTAGGTAATGCAGAAGAAGACGTGAGATCAGAGAGATCAGAAGGAATGTATGGAGTAAAAGTAGGTAATATCAAATGAGAAAAGAAATCAGAGACAACAACAGAGTCTGGACAAAATGGAAACTCATGCTCATGAAAGACTACATTGCGAGTAATAGAAACAGAATGAGTATCTAAGTCAAGAACTTTATACCCCTTATAGCCAACAGGATAACCTAAGAAAATGCAAGCACGAGCACGAGGAGAAAATTTATGACGATCTTTGACAAGTGTACTTACATAGCATAAGCAACCAAAAGATCTAAGTAAAGAGTAGTCAGGTTTCTTTTTCAAGAGAATCTCATAAGGTGAACAATTGTTCAACAGCGGAGAAGGAGTTCTATTAATGAGAAATACTGCAGTTTGAATACAATCAGTCCAGTAAACAAGAGGAATATTAGATTGAAACAAAAGTGCTCGAGCAACATTCAATATATGTTGATGTTTTCTTTCAACCACTGAATTTTGTTGTGGTGTATATGCACATGAAAAGTAATGCATCATCCCAAGTTCTTTACAGAGTTTATCAAATTTCAGTTCAGGTGCATTATCACTTCTAACAGCCTTAACTCGTTTATCATATTGAGTGTTAATATGTGCAAGAAAAGTTGGAAAAATGGTAAGAACATCACTCTTTTGTTTAAGAAAGTAAACCCAAGTAAGGCGACTACAATCATCAACGATAGTAAGAAAGTATTTAAAACCATCAACAGACTCTTGTGAAAACGGACCCCATATATCAATGTGTAAAAGATCAAAAGGATCAGGAGACAAATGATTATGAAAAGGAAAAGACAAATGTTTTTGTTTTGCTAAAGGACATACAGGACAATGACTTTCAATAGACAAGGAAGACTTAGGAATGGAGAGAACGTCAGACAGAACGTGTAACTTGCCAAGCGATGGATGTCCAAGGCGAGTGTGCCAAAGCGTACCATCAGTTGACAAGGATCCAAGAAAAGCAGCACAGACAATAGGTTTGGCAACATCAAGAATGTAAAGATTACGCAGCATATCACCCTTCCCAATCATCAGTCCCTGTGAAGGTTCCTGAATGTAAAATGATGTGGGAAAGAAGTGAGCAGAACAGTTACTATCACGCAAGAGAGTACTAACACTGAGCAGATTAAAATGAAAAGATGGAACATAAAGAACATCATAAAGCATCAAATGTTCAGATAATGCAATGGTGCCAGTATGCATGATGGGAATTTTTGTACCATTAGGTAACGAGACAGTCATTCCAGATGTTTCAAATACTTCCCTAAAAAGTGTAAGATCAGAACAAACATGACTGGTAGCACCACTATCCACTATCCAAGAACCAGAAGGAAGAGAATTGTATAAAGTGGATAAGCATTGATGATGAAAAGTGAAAATGTGGTTATCAAAACGAAGGTTAGAAGACAGAGGAATATCAATACCAGATGAAGATTGACAAGCCATGACACCCTTCTCAGAGATGGTGGCACAAGGAGCAACAGGCGCAGAAGACTGAGAATGAGTCGTCAGTTGTTGAATTAGAGATTGAATCTGGCCGGCAGAGAGCTGATGAATGTTAAGATCAGTGGTGGACATCGCTGGTGGGGGAAAGTAATGCAGAGACTGTGGAGAAGCAGCAATCCCATCAGTATACATGTTAGCCACAGTTTGAGAACCAGCTTGATGAGTCTGCGTAGAAGAACCAGCCTGATGATTCTGCACCGGAGGACGAGGTCCATTAGAAGTAGAACCACGAGGTGGATAGCCAGATTTGTTGTTAGAAGTATGAGCAGGCGGTTTGTATCCAGGAGGATAACCATGTAGACGATAACACTTGTTGATAGTGTGACCCAATTGACCACAGTGAGTACAAAGAGGCCTATTGCCACGAGGTCTGTAGGAGTTGTAAGCAGCAGCAAACGCTTGATCATCAGGATGAGCTAACTGGGAAGAAGCAGAAGCTTGAAAAGCGACATTATCAACTTTGAGAGGAGGTTTGACAGAGCGTTGCCTTTCATCCTGAGCCACTATATTAAACGCTTCTTCAATAGTGGGAATTGGCTTAAGCATCAGAATGTGACGGCGAGTTTGCTCATAAGTGTCATTGAGTCCCATCAAAAACTTTGTAACCCTGCCTCTGTGTTGCATAGTTTCCCATAAAGCAGCTGCATTACACTCACAACGTCCACATGTACAAACCGGGAGATCGATATAATTCTTGTATTCTTCCCATAGAGTAATCAACTCAGTATAGTACTGACTAACATCCAATGATCCCTGTTGAAGACTACTAAGACGTTGCTCAATCTCATAGATACGAGGAGCATCATCTTGTTTGTAACGAGAACACAGATTATTCCAAATAGCTTCAGCAGTAGACATGAACAACAGACTCTGAGCAATATTCTTGGAAACAGAATTAAGCAACCACGTAACCACCATATCATTGCATCTTGACCAAGTTCCAGAAGATCTAGAATTATCAGGAGGTTTACGAATAGTACCGTCGATGAAGCCGAGTTTGTTACGCACATTCAGGCCCATACGCACGGATCGCTTCCAAGAATGAAAATCAGCACCAGAGGCTAATTTGTCAGAGACGAGCTGAAGACCAGCATGATCAGTATGATGTAGAAAGAACGGATTATCGTAGTGAGTCACATCGGAGTGAGTTGAATCGGGATGAATCGGATGACTCGGCGGAATCGGTTGAATCGGGGGAATCGGTGGAATCGAAGTTGAGGAATTAGACATAGCGATGTAGATGAAGGCGAAGGTGATGAAGGAGATGAACAATGGAATCACAACGAGAGATGACGAAGAAGAATCACCAGAGAAGTGATATCAAGAAACGGAGAATAACAGAAATCAACAAAACGAAGTTCTCCAAAAACGGAGTGATCTGGAGAAGAAGAAGATCGAGAGGTGAAGCGCTCATGATCGTGAGGGCTCTGATACCATAACAAGGTTTTAACAATGGAGAAAAGATGAAACGAAGAAGAAGATGAATGTGAAGAAGAAGTTTGTTATGAATCGTATAAAGTTTCACATTAATTTACTCTGTACAGTTTACACTTGTTTATATACAAGAGTCAGTTACAGCTAACATAAACTTAACGTAACTGCTAACGTGTACCAGAAGCTATCGTACACCATATGNTAACAATGGAGAAAAGATGAAACGAAGAAGAAGATGAATGTGAAGAAGAAGTTTGTTATGAATCGTATAAAGTTTCACATTAATTTACTCTGTACAGTTTACACTTGTTTATATACAAGAGTCAGTTACAGCTAACATAAACTTAACGTAACTGCTAACGTGTACCAGAAGCTATCGTACACCATATGTATATGTGATAGCATGGCCTAATTAATAAAATAATTAACAACTTTTAACTTTTTTTTTAATTGCTTTCTTCTCGGATATCAAACCCTAATCCTTCGTTGAACTCCTTCTATTTCTGCACTATTCTATCGATTCTCCTTTTTCTGAGATGAAAGTAAAAAACAAATCCCTCTAGATATGTCTCTTCTCCTTTAAAATTTCATTGGATTTACCGTGTTTTTGGAAAAAAAATGAAAAAAGAAAATTTTATACCATGAAGAAACTAATTTGAAATTAGCATAAAATAGATTTTGAAGTCAAAAAGATAATATTTCTGTAATATGTGTCCTACAATATATACTCTGCTCAATTCAAATTCTATATATTAAAAAAACACCAGTGATAAATAAAACACGGCAAGAGAAACTATATGACACCGTGTTTGACGATGAGAAACCTAAGCATACTGGTCAACGGAAACCAATTTCCTCCGATGTAAAGGTAGAGAAGGAGGATGGTGATCCTTACGACGAAGGAGACGGAGACTACGTTTCACACTTGTGAAACCGATGATGATATCCTTATAGTAGGGACAAAGGGTGAGGTAAAATATATTTCAAACTTTCATCTTCTTATCATTACTTGGAATTGAACTGTTGGTAGGAATGTTATTGGTATTCCCCTGTAAACCAGTTTGGGCCATCTACTATAGTTGCGTCTCGCCCAACCACGTACATCAGACCTGGTTACAGACCCGAGTAACCAAGAACCTTTCCGCAGTATCTACAACCTCGTGATCCTCAGTTATACCAAAACCAAAATGGTAGGTTTAATAATGGTAACGCAAACCCCCAAGTGTTCCCTTCCAAATCCCCCACATGGACTCAACAAAGACCAAGCGTAGGCGCTACTCCTGTGGACGTTTCTCAAGGCCTGCAGTATAACCGTTACGTTACTCCTCCCACGCCTTTACAAAGCAACTCACAGCAGACGTTTGGTGATTATGTACCAACGCTAACATTAGCTGATACCAATATGTACGGTAGACAACTTAGCCGGACAAGTGTATCTTTGTCTGGAACTCCTAATCTTCCGGCGAAGCAGCAACAACAAAGAAGACTGGCTTATGGACATTGGACAGTACTACTTCGAGTGATGCAGTTTGTCCCTTGTCTGGTCAATTCTACGACATTCCAATTCGGTTTCCAAACTTTCTTTGGATGATTTAAACATTTGGATTGTCTTTTATTTTCAGAATTAGTTTTAGAATTAGGATGTACATAGATCACTCGTATTAGCCAAGAGTTTTTGGTCAGGACGTGGAGTTTATGAAAACATTTCGTTATTATTCTTTAATTTTTTTTTATTTTCTGGACTCGTTTCTTTATCAATCTAAATTCATATCTAATATTTGACCATATTTTTTTTTTGAGATTTACTTCTTTATTGGGTGATTTACCATAAAATAAGTGAGGAATCTTTTTTTTGTTACTAAACTTGAACGATACCGTCCCTTCGGGGACATCCGATAAAATTGGAACGAAACTTGAACGATACCATCATTATTTAAGCAAACGATATGGATTTATTTTTTTGTCACGAAAAAAAAACTAACAGAAGTAAATAGATTCCCTCACTTATTTTATGATAAGTCACCCAATAAAGAAGTAAATTAAAAAAAATATATATATGGTCAAATATCAGAAATTGAAATATATACAGTCCACAGATTACGAAATATATTTTTGGGAACTTTAAAAAATAATTTACTTAAAAAAAGTGCGGCATTCCATAACTATAGTGAAGAAAAGTCAAACAAACATTAATAGTAGGAAAATCAGTTACCAGAATCTCGAATTTCAAAATATTCTTTCAGTTTACAACTTATTTTTCTTTCTTAAAATAAAGAAAGATTCAATTCTCTCAAAAAGATTCAAACAGAATCTCGAGAATCTCTCTAGTCTCTACATTCTCCTCCTATAAAAAAAAGACTCATCACCTCTCTCTCTCACACACATTCTTCTTCATTTCTAAATTTCCCACCAAAATGGCTTCTCCTCCTCTCTCTTGCTCCGCCTCTGATCTCATCCCCTTACTATCATCCACAGCCAACGCCACCGCGGCAGCAGAATTCATCTGCACGAGATTCGAAACAATCTCCGGAAAATTCACCGACGCTTCCTACGCCATAGACAACACTTACCTCCTCTTCTCCGCTTACCTCGTCTTCGCGATGCAGCTAGGCTTCGCCATGCTCTGCGCAGGCTCCGTCCGAGCCAAGAACACGATGAACATAATGCTCACGAACGTCATCGACGCAGCGGCGGGAGGTCTCTTCTACTACCTCTTCGGCTTTGCCTTCGCTTACGGCTCTCCTTCCAACCCCTTCATCGGAAAACATTTCTTCGCCATGAGTGGCTTCCCGAAAGCTACCTTTGACTATCCTTACTTTCTTTATCAGTGGACGTTCGCTATCGCCGCCGCTGGCATTACCAGCGGGTCGATAGCAGAGAGGACGCAGTTCGTTGCGTATTTGATTTATTCTTCTTTCTTAACCGGTTTGGTTTACCCGATTGTATCGCATTGGTTTTGGTCTAGCGACGGGTGGGGGTCTCCCGCGAGAGCTGAGAACCTTCTGTTTCAATCAGGGGTAATTGACTTCGCTGGATCCGGCGTCGTTCATATGGTTGGAGGGATTGCCGGTTTATGGGGAGCGTTGATAGAAGGACCGAGGATTGGCCGGTTTGAGAATAGAGGTAAACCGGTTACGTTGCGTGGTCATAGCGCGACGTTGGTTGTGCTTGGTACGTTTTTACTTTGGTTTGGTTGGTACGGGTTTAACCCCGGTTCGTTCGCGATTATTAATAAATCATACGGTTCTGCTCCCGGGAGTTCGTTTTACGGACAGTGGAGTGCTGTCGGGAGAACAGCTGTTACGACTACTTTAGCTGGATGCACGGCGGCGTTAACGACTTTATTCGGGAAGAGATTGATAGATGGTTATTGGAACGTGACTGATGTTTGTAACGGTTTGTTAGGCGGGTTCGCGGCGATAACCGGTGGATGCTCGGTTGTTGAACCGTGGGCGGCGGTTATCTGCGGGTTTGTTGCTGCATGGGTGTTGATGGGATTCAATAAGCTAGCTGATAAGTTGAAGTACGACGATCCTTTAGAAGCGGCTCAGCTTCACGGTGGTTGCGGCGCGTGGGGGATTATATTCACCGGTTTGTTCGCGGATAAAACGTATGTTTCGGAGATCTTTGGAGGTGAACCGAATAGGCCTTACGGGCTGTTGATGGGAGGAGGGTGGAGGTTGCTTGCGGCGCACGTTGTGCAGATTGTGGTGATTGTGGGGTGGGTTAGTGTGACGATGGGGACTTTGTTTTTCGTGTTGCATAAGCTGGAACTGTTGAGGATACCGTCGGAGGATGAGATCGCTGGGATGGATCCGACGAGTCATGGTGGGTTGGCTTATATGTATACTGAAGAAGAGATCAAGAATGGGATTATGGTTAGGGAGGTGGGTCGTGAAAATGACCATGTAGAACTAGGTGTTCTTTGATTTCTTCATAATAGCTACTCTTTTGTTATTTTATTTTATTTTATTTTATTTTGGTATGTGTATATATCTGCTCATTTGCATTGGAATAATTTACATTAATTTACATGGTAATTTATTTAGAGACCCATTTATTTATCTGTTGTGATTTGTCTTTAACTATGACTCTCATCACCAGACACCAGCGAGCTAGGTATCAAATATCTGAAACAGTATTTTACCAATATAAAGCATTTTATTTTCTGAACAAATTTAAAACATCTTTATTTGAATAAAGTTGATAAATATGAATCAGGTAGAAGAAAATATTAATGAAAATATCAGATTTTTCATGGTTTGTTATTTGAATTTCTAATTAATTTTTCAAAATATTTTTAAAACGAATCATACATACTGGATTATAATAAAAATCGAGGCCCAGACATCCGCACAGATTCTAGTTACACGTGTAGATCAGTAGTAACTATAAATTGTACAAACTACAAACGGTAAGACTAGGCCGTTTGCTGGCATTCGTATGTTTATTATCCTTGATGGATGGTTTTTCATCAGAAATTAGTTACTACTTATAATCTAAACCACCAGTTCTAGTTCTAATAAAATGATAGCTGTGGAAAATGCAAAGTAGAACCAAATATAATTCAAGAACTGACGAAATAGAATGCTGTTTTCTTTTGAGAATTGGAGTGGAACCAAACAATCTTAGTCCAATTGCTTTCTAAGCCGCGTTCTATTTAATCAAATGGTGACAATAAGGCTACATGAATTGAAGGCTTGCACTATATAGGCCTTGTTCGGGAGTCGATAGCTAGGGTCACGTTAATATGGAAATAAAATCTTGTGGTCCTAGTTTTATGTTTTGATAAAGAAGAATATTATCCGATATCAGTAGCGACTAGTTAAAGTCAGATTCACACGATAGCTAGGGTTGTTCAAAAAAAAAAAAGAGTCAGTTTCACACGATAAAATTTTATCTAGCTTGAAGAAACTGTCGTAAGTACATAATTCGAAGCAGAGCAGAGAAAAATATCATATAAAAAGAATAGGAGACACGTGCGAATAAGACACCAGTACAATGGACATGATTCATCGAATCATCATCCCATGCAAAAAGACGACAATCAAAAAAGCAAAGTAAAAAACAATCACTCACATGTGAATTCGAAAGAGATATTGAAAAAAAGTGGCCAATATAATAATACAATATGCATAGAGCGTAGAAAAATATACACATATAATTGTTTATACCCCCTGCATTTCTAACACTTTCTACAATATCCACACTAACGTTTTTCTACCTCATAGGTCACAGCTATGGACCTCAAATCCATCTTATTTTCTTCAAAGAAAAAGGATAGAAAATATAGGTGTTATCTTGTAGGAAAGGATTACAAAGGGGGAGATGTTTGCAAAGAAATGTAAAGTAGGAGACAAAAATCAAAAGTGGCTACAAAATGACTTTGAGTATTTATGTCGGTATCTTCGAGAACCATTGATTCCCTTATCTAGTCAGATACTGTACTCCAACAACCATTTAGCCTTCGCCACGTGATGGTCAAACTGGATACTCAGTCAAACCTTTTGACCAGTGGAACCAAAAATACACATGCATGTCACTAAAAATATGTTAAATACCCCATACCTACATGGTTAGATGCTCTTTGATTGACAAATGAATATGTTAAGTCTTAATCATATTAATCGTTATCATCATTCTTTCATATTGAGGTAAATCTTGTTTATATTTTTTGTTTATGTTTCTGTTTTCTAGTCAATACTCAATCAAGTTTTTTCCTCTTTCTTACTCCACCCTATATCTTGACTGAATAAATACGTCAAAAAGATAGCCTTAGCAACTACACACTCTCATTCTTATCTTCTCTTGTGATTCTTATGTTTCTCCTCTCTATTTCTTAACTTTATTGAAAATACAAAATATTTGAGGAGGTTATAGTAAATGGCAGATCAAAATCCAAGAATCACCGTCGAGAAAAACCCATCTCAAGATCGTCTTGATGAACTGAAGATCAAGTCATGGCCCAAGTAAGACCAATCGTGCTTATGTTCTTAGTTCGTTTTACTGGGTGGTGTGAGATCTATTATTGCATGAGAACAAAACTCAAATTGAAATTTTGTTTTTTTTTGTTGGGGAACAAAGGTGGGGATGTTCACCAGGGAAGTACCATCTGAAATATGAAGCAGAAGAGATATGTTACATTGTGAAGGGTAAAGTTAAGGTTTACCCTAAATCATCATCAACAACAGGAGCCTCATCATCAGGGTCGTCATCATTGGATGCGGAAGTAGAATGGTGTGTAGAGTTTGGAGCAGGTGATATCGTCACTTTTCCTCAGGGACTTTCTTGTACTTGGGATGTATCTCTCCCCGTTGACAAACATTATATTTTCCGTCACAATTAGTTCTTCACTTCTTTATTTTGATTCGTTACTATTGTTGTATTTCGTGCTCTTTTTGTTTGGGTTTTTATATAGTGAGAAAATATAGACTTGTGTGCATTAACAATCACATAACTAAAGAATGGAGTATTTCACAATTCAAGTTTGAGAAAACTTTGAGAAAACTTCGTAGTTAAATTCAAATAATCCTGAGATAATACTACATGATAATATAATTCAACTTCGAAGGTATTCATAAGCATGCAATAGTTTTAAATTAATTCAAACGTTTGGGGAAAAATTCTTAAACCATAAACGTTGGATTCTCTTTAGTCAACAAGATGTGATCTTCTTTATTTGTCACCTACTTTACGCCTCCTCTATAATAATGGTTTTCATTTTTTACATCCGCTGACCAGTCAACATTCCATATTTTGTAGCTTAAGGCATATAGTCTGATATTTTACAATTGAACTAGGTGACTCACCCGCACCCTGTGCGGGTATAAAAATATAGTATAATGCTGAGATAAAAGTATCTATTGAGTTCAAATGTGGGACTTAGTGGAACAAGTGAGAGTTTCAATGCTGAGACAAGATTTGCGCAAATCTCTAGGATGCAGTAGAGGTGGGAAAATCGTTACATTTTCGGTTTGGTTTGTTTAGTTCGGTTTTAATATTTTTTTTTCAAATGACATAAACCTAATTTAGTCTGGTTCGGTGTGGTTTATGTCCAGTTCAATTTATATTCAGTTCGGTTTGTTTTTGGATCGGCTTAATTAGGCTCTTTGTCGCTTAATTTTTTTTAAAAAAAATTTAACATCATTAGTATGTTTTTAATAAAAGTTAACTATTAAAAAAACAAATGTAAGTAAGATATACTGGAGATAGTGACATATTAAAAATGTGATAAAAATCTCATAGATATCACAATCCCATAGAAAATGTGATGAAAGTTTAAATATAATTCATAAGTAGTATAAAATAAAAAGAACATTTATGAATAAAAAAATCCCATAGAAACCTGCTAAAAAAATTGTCAATTTTTTTAGCAATTGTACAATATAAAATAATTTAATAGATTTCTAAATTTTATCGAGACGAAAATAATATTGAATTTGCATATCGCTATTGAAACAAACTGAAAAATGTTTTGTAATCAACTACAAACGGTCTT